TGATGTAATGGTAATCATTATTTTATTAATATAAATATGAAAATATTATAATCATATTTTATTCATCATCTTGATGAATTGATTTTATCTTTTGTTATAAACAACAATGAAATAATATAGAATAAATATGTAATATAGTCCAAGAAAAAATGAAATAAGAGAAAAATGAAGAGGAAGAGTGATATAAAAGAATAAATGAAATTAGGAATAGAAGAAAATAAAAAGAATAAAAAAGTAGAGAATATAAAAAGAAAGAAGATAAAAGGGAGTATATTAAAAAAGATAATAAAAGATGAAAAGGATGAAACAAAGGATGTATTTTTATTATATAAATTAGAAATATAAAATAAAAATGTCTAATCTAATGGTTGAAAATAATTAACATTATTTTATTGACATAAATTATTTTCCCATTATTTAACACAATCATTCAATTGTTATTGTATATTGGTGTTTAAAAATGATTTGTAATAATCAAATGAAAACAAATAAACAAGATAAATCAAATAATAATTAATAAAACAATTGAAGATATTAAGGAAATTACTAATGATATATTTATACAAGAAATCAAAATGAAATAATAAATAAAATACATTGCTAATTCAAAAAATAACTAAACAATTAATAGTATTAATAACTATGAACTAATAAAATCAAATAAAATAATTATGAATTTCATTAATAAATAAAAGAATAATATTAACAATCGATTGTATAGAAATAATAAATATAATAATAAATAACAATCAAATCATTATAAATGAATTTAAATAAACAAATAAATAGAAATTGAATGAACAAATTAAAATAACATAAGTAAAAATAAATATTTGATATTAAATCATTTTTAAGATAAAAAAGAAATATATCTTCATAAGAAAATGAAATTTGATAAGTTTGAATTGAGTACAAATAGATATTATATGAAAATAATAAATATAGAGAAAATCAAGAACACTTTAATTATTTTTTATCACCCAATTTTTACATTAATTTTATTTATCAGGATAATTTTATAAGAATCAATAAGTAATTTACTTATTAACAATATGATAAAAAGAATTAATTTATT